ATGCATCAAGTAGTGGTTTGTACCTAGATATAACTCGGACACATGTTTCCCCATGTGAAAGCCATCTTGTAGTACATGCTTTTAAAATCTTCAAAGGTTTCACTTCAAATTAGGTTTGCGCAGCTTCAAAAATTGCTTGTTTGATAGAGCTATACTTAAAATGCTTCCAAATTGCAATTAATAGTTTATCAAGTAAGGCAAGAGAGTCATACTTTTTAACTAGGTGAACTAAACAAAGGGCGAAACGGTGATTCCTGCAGTTTAAATATATGCTATAAGGAGAAGCATGTCTTAGAAGTCGTTGTAAACCACTCCGCTTACCACCCTTTGCATTTGTGCCGTCGAGTCCGCAAAACTTCATATCCGTTATTAAAATTTTTTTTTCACTCAAAAATTGTTTGGTTATGTCAAAAAGTGCTTCAGAAGTTTTTGAACAACCAATTTGAGCTATTCCAAGAAATGTTTCCGTCGGCAAATAATCAGTCATATCTATATAACGAGCAAATATTGCTAGTTGTGATTGGTCTGCTTCATCAGTGCTTTCATCTGCAAGTAATGCGTAATCCACGCTTGCTGTTATATCAGTGAGAACTTTAAGCTCCAATTCATTACTAATTATATCTATGTACTCTTGTACAATGCAGTTAGAAGTATATAATGCATTCCTTTGATTGTTTTTGAAATGATTTAATATATCTTGATCCCCGATGTTTTGAAGGAAATCAATAAATTCTGAGAAATTTTGCTTAACGGCCCAATTTTTTTTAGCGAGAAAATATGCAGCTTTAAAAAATTTAATGATAACTCTTTTTTGTCTAGATTCTTCTTCTGCGTTATATTTTACACCCCCGTCAATAATCTGTTTAAAAACATTACCTTTAAATAACATGGATTTTACTTGTTGTTTATTGGAGGTAGCGCGTTTGTGTTTGTTGCTAATAAAGTGTGTGTTAAATAATTCTGTCGGGTGAAAACTGTGTTTAACACATTTTGTTTTCCAAAACTCATCACCAGAAACAGAAAAACTTTCACAGGTTTTACATAGCCAACCATTTTTTGAAATGCTAAAGTAAGCCCACTCAAATTTATTTTCCCAATAAGCTATGTGTTCACTGCTGAATCCTTTACTTTGGTTTCCTTTCCATATAAAAGTTTTACTTTTTTTTATTGAACTTACGTTTGTTTTTAAAGATACTGTTGTTGAATTTTCAGTATTATTAGGTAATATCGAAGAATTTTCAGTATTAAATGTTTTTAGTAAAGAATTTTCAGTTGCATTTGCTATTATCAAAGAATTTCTGCTTTCATCATTCATATCTGCTGTTGTTGATAAAGTTTTAGTTTTATTTGCTATTAGCGAAGAATTTTTAGTTTTGTTTGCTATTATTGAAGAAATTCCAGTTACATTTTCTATTATAGAAGAATTTATGGATAAGTTAAGGACAGGGGAAAACAATTTGTTTTAATAGAAGACTCTGTATTGCACATCTATTTGATGATAAAACAAAAAATGAAATAGTATAACTTATAAGAAATTAGTTTTTATACTAAGATACAATCATTATTATTTATTTTCAATAATTTCGTTGTTATTTTGTGATTTCGTTTTATTTTTGTTCTATGCTTTCGTTTTATTGTTGTAATTACATTACCAATATAAAACAGATTTAAAATAAATAAATGATTGTCTTTTATGTTGTATTTATAAAATGCCCAATTAAAAAGATAAAAACAATAATTAAGAAAAATGTTGATAAATATTTCACATATATAAAAAGTTCTTACGTAGTTTGGTGGAATTGGTATCACTGTCTTTTTAATGAAATCAATACCACCGTCATCAAATCCCGCTCTTTTTGGCAAAGTTTCTTTTTTTTTTTGGAATAAAAATTTTTTCTATATTCGTCTTTGGTTTTACAGGCGTAATCTCTATTTCTAGACGATTAGATGTCAAATATGTGCTAGATTTTTTATTATGGCTGATTGAAGTAGATTTTGGGCGACCAGCAGCCATTTTTTTAAATCGTCGATACCTTTCTACAAACTTCGAGTGTTTCCAAATATTTTATAACTTTAAATACTTCGCGAGCATCTAAACTCTGATATAGATGATTTCAAAATGGCCGGAAAACGATTTATTGGCCGGAAAAAGAATTATTAATAACTTATTTTTATATAACGGCTGCAAGACAACGGATCTATTCAAAATTAATGCCAAATAAATATATATATGTATATATTTCTCTATCATATTTATAAATATTTACATATATGTTAAATAAATTTAAAAAAAAGGTCTTCAATTACCTGAATTTGGGCGGCGCCCAAATCGGCACCCAAATACGGTCGGCGCTGTCGAAAATGGTCTAGAATAGCCCCTGATAGGTGCGAAAGAGTTAAAGAAAACATAGCTAAATTGCATGAATGAAATAACACAAGTTTTGTGAATTAAACAGTCCTCTTAAATTGTTGCCCCCTGAATATAATCTCATGTTGTTAATAGCAGGCTTGTGGAGCCGACTGTTTTTTTTACGGTTTAGCTCTGGCGTCTAAGAAATATCCAGCTCCCAAATTTTATGACAAAAATTGCAAGTTTTGAAATATTTTTTTGATCACATTTGCTAACCCAAAACCATTTACCAATTACAGTAATTACAATACCAATTACAGCAATAAATTTTTTACCAACTCTCATGAATACAAGGTTATTGTATTACTATCACTGCTCTACTACTGAATATTATATTTGAAAAGAAAAATATTTTGGGTAAATTATCACTCTTTTCTATATATTATCTACTCAAAACTAAAGTTTTTAGTTCAAATTTTATTTCTAATTCTACCCAGGGGCACGGTACCTAAAAAAGACATTTTTAAACGTCCAAAACGTTCAAAAGGCATTGAAAATATTCAAAAGATGCTTAAAAGATGTCTTTCTTACTTCCTCACTGAGATACCCAGTTGGCATGGGACCTAAAAAGATGTATTTTGAATGTTCAAAAGATGTTCAAAACGCTCCAAAGACGTTTAAAAGACCTCTTTTGTATTTCCTGTGCTCACTGGGTAAAACATGCGATCATTAAATTCAAAACAATAAAAAATTCAAGAAAAATGAAAAATAATTCATCCAATGCAAAAACTATAAAAAAATATTTTCTTTAATGTAAGGAACTTGAAGATTATAAAAGTGCTTTTTATTTTTATATTTTTCATTATTTCATATAAATGAGCAAACATTTACGCTAATCGATGACATCAACTTTTGCACAGTGTCTTTGACATTTTTTTTTTCCTACTAATGTCCACTTTCTAATCAAATCTTTAGCTGTATTTATTGTTTTGCTAGTCTTACGTGAATATCCTTTGCCAATTCCCCCAAATTTTTCAATGGAATGGAACCGTTTGCAGGTTGATGGATTCAAGCTTTTTGATATGAATTTGATGTCTCTCGAATTGTAGCACTTTTCTTCCAATAATGAAAAGAAGCAAGATTAGGCCAGAATCAACAGACATCGTGACTTCGATAAAATTACAAAAGTCTAGCTTGCAAGTATTCTTTGATGTAAACATCCGAGTTCAAAGTTAACGATGTGACAAAAGCTCGGGATCTCAAACCTCAGCTGCATATTGCTTGCCAAAATTTAATCTTTAAAAAACTCTAAAACTTTATACCTTTTGGATCATTCTCTGTTTGATAAGCCGGGATTTTGCGTGAATGATGGTCGAATACTATTTGCTACTTTCTTATCCTTAAAGCCACTCTTTCTTCCAGATCCTTTTGCTCGTTTGATAGATAGAAAACTCTTTTAATGTTTTATGACCATATAAACAGTAGTTTTGCTAGATTCAGATCATTTTGCGATTGAAAGTAACGATGCAGGAGGATTTTGTAGATAGTTGTGCAGAATTTTTTTCGTTTTTCTATATGATTCAATGACATTTTAATTAAGAGAAACATTTTGACTTGTTTGTTGATGTTTTTAATTTATGCTGTAATTACCTAATGTAATTATGTGGAAAAAAAATTTATTAATGTGTTAAAACAGAATTCATCGTTCCAAATTTAACGATCTTATGCTTTAGTATAATTTAAAAGATATGAACAACCTTTGATCATTAAATCGCGCATCAAATTTAAAATTATTGTATCAGTATAAAATACAATATAAAGCAATTTATGCAATACTGTAACGTTTTCATAAATAATTTACTTTTTTTTTTTAATAAAGCATATAAAGAAATACTAATAAAGGATAGTATTTTGTTGTGCACAAAATTGTTAAAATATTCATTTTTATTACGTTTTGGCAAGACCGTAACTGTAAGAAAAAATATTTAAAAAAAAAAAGAAACTCAATAAATAATTCAATTAAACAATAAATGAACAAAGTTTGTCTACAGTAAAAAAAAAAAAATAGCGTTTATTTCTACAGTAAAAAAAGCATTAATTTTATTCATTAAAAAAAAAAAACATGAGAGCCGATAGCCGCTCGATTTTTGCAGCTCTGGCTCCACCAAAATACAGCAGCTCCAGCTCGGCTCCACAAGCCTGGTTAACAGCTTGTTATAAACAAAGTTATAAACAAAAAAACAAAAATCTACCAATGGCATAACAATCCAGTTTAAATTGGACCTAAAAACATTTGATAATAAGTTGAGTAATCAGCTTTAAGTGCATATGTGCCTTTCGCTTTGAAGTAATGTTAATACATTTATAAATGCTAACATTCTTAGCAACTCTTTTTCTATACATCTTCTTGGGCCATCTATTACTTTTGATTTCACTTAAAAATGCTATATAAAATACATCACAAAAAATAGCCTCTGCAAACAATCTTCCTGTTTTTTTGTTTACTATATTTTTAGCATGTATTTATCATATGTATTTAAAATAAATTTTAGTTTTCATATTGATAAAAAATTACAAGATAAAAGTAATTAAAAATAAATCTATGTAATGACTAACTCTTGTAACTAAAACAAATTTGTTTGTAAAACAGGACTAAGTTTCGTATACAGATGAATAATGCAGATAATGAATGTGGCATTCGAGCTATGGACTCTCTAATAAATTATGAAACTGTCAAAGTAGGTTACAATACTTTATTTTAGAACATCTCTGTTAATGTAATTATTTGTTTCTTTTATTAACAGTAGTATAATTTTTATAGTTCATCTATATTACAGTATTTTAACAATGAAAGTTTTGAGACAGAACAATATGACAAGCTACTTCAGAAATACGAAGAAGCTTCTATAAAAACTGCCACTTCATTGGCTTTCTTAAATTTTGGTCAAAACTTGATTTTTTCAACCACTCTTACTGCAGTTATGCTAATGGCTAGTCAGTCTATTATTCAAGGTAGTTTTTTATTTGAAGTTTTTTGTCACATATTTTTGTTCTTGGTTGTTAATCTGTTCATTACTTTACTTTAACCATTTCTTTTCACATCATTTGTTTATTATTTTTATTTTTTGTCTTTATTATTTTATCTATTTTTCAACTTTAATACTAAATCATTACATTTAAGGAACTATGACAATAGGAGATTTGGTTATGATAAATGGTCTTTTATATCAATTAACAATACCACTTAATTTTCTTGGTACTGTGTATCGTGATCTTCGTCAATCAATTATTGACATGCAAAGTATTTTTACTCTCCTGGATATAAAGAGTAAAGTTATTGTAAGTTTTTTATTATACATATAAATTTGTTGCCATTAATTTATGTGCTTAATTAATTTATCTGTCAATTTACTGCTGATTTAAAAAATGATGGTAAAAGTTTATTTAATGTACTTTTAAAAGTATTCTTTAAATTTTTTAGCAGCATATATAATATATTTATTTTTTAATTTTTCTTTAATGAACTCACTCCCAACATTAATGATTAACATTAATAAATCAGCATTAATAAATTCTTACTTATTAGTATCCCACATGACTCAAACACATGAAAAATTGATGGCACTATTGATTAAATATCCACTATATTATATAAAACACATGAAAAATTAATGGCACTATTGAATAAATATCCACTATATTATATAAACTATGATGCTATATTTAACAAACACATTTTTTCTGGATTAACATTTAATTTTCAATCTCACTTAAACACAACTTCAAATATAATCACACATTATTTTAAAATTAAAAATTTTAAAGATAAGTAACTTTTGTTATAATGCTCTATATGTCAAGCACCATGGTCATTTGAAAAAGTTCAAGTCTAATAAGAAAAAGTTTTTGAATATCAAAAACTTTTTCTGTTTAAAAAACTGAAAAAAAATCAGTTTTTGAAAAACCTGAAAATAACTTTCAATATAAGTTGTTGTTATCAAAATTTTTTTAAATTTATTAAAAGTATTTGAAAAAACGTTCTCATATGAAGAAAAAAAAGTGCTCATATGAGTAAAAAAATGCTCATTAAAAAAAGTGCTTATAAAAGAAAAGAAAAAATTCTCATATAAGAAAAAAAAAATGCTCATGTAAGAAAAGAAAGTGCTCATATAAATAAAAAAATGCTCATTAAAAAAGTGCTTATACAAGACAAAAAAAAATGCTCATATAATAAAATATATAATAAAACATATAATAAAATATATAATAAAAAAGTTCTCATATAAGAAAAATTACGAAATGCAAAACAGTAGTAGCAAAATTAAGTTATAACTTTATAAATACTTACTAAAAAACTATAAAAACTGATGAAAAATAATAGAGTTTTTGATTTTTGTATACTTTTATTTGCAAAATTGTTGTTGTTTGTTACTGATGACTCATTTTTAATGTTGTTTTAGGAAAGTCCTAAGGCTGTTCCATTGCTGTTCTTAAAAGGAGACCAAAAAGATATTACTTTTGAGAATATATGTTTCCAATACCCTAATGGACCAGTGATTTTCAAAGATCTATCGTTTACTATTAAATATGGAAAGAAAACAGCTATTGTTGGTGGTAGTGGCTCAGGGTAAGGTTTTTTTATTTATTTTTTTTGTTAATTATCTCCCTAAGGCAGATAATCTAAATTATTAAAGTGACCAAACTAAATCCAAATTATAAGTGACTACCTATTAACTTTTTTAATAATTTTTTAATTATCAAATATGACTTTAAAATGAAACTTAAAAATATTTGTGCACTGAATAAAAAACAGAAAAAATTATTTCTTTAAAACTGTTTTTATATAATTTGTATTAGTTTTTATAAGAATGTTGATTTTGAAAACTTGCTTATCATCATTTTGAAAACCTGCTCATCATTATTTTGCAAACTTGCTCAGACCATCTGAGTCATATCTTTTAATGTTGAAAGTTTTATATTGTGTACATGTACACAATATAAAACTTTATATATTGTGTACATTATATAATGTACACAATATATAATTGTTTTATTTCATACCTTTTTTTTTTTTTTTTTTTTGATAATATCAATTTAGTCCTACTTTAAAACAATTTTTATGCTAAATTAAATATACAAAGATATTGCCAAAATGACAACTTATAACAAATATTTCAGTAGTCACCACATAAACATAGTAAAATTAATTTTGTTGACTTAAATAAAACCAATGTGAGAACTTAATATATAGTATAAATTTTTCTTGGTTTAAAATCAAATTAATTTAGCGGAACTATATGATTATTTATATAAATAAATTTATTTTTAAAAATTAAATAAATTTATTTATATAAATTATGTTATCACAAAATATTATTAAATATTACAAAGGTTGTCATCAGACATGAATTTTATGTCTGATGGCAACCTAACAAAACTGATTGCAGTAAAGAGAAAAAACTGTTATTGCTAAAACTTTGGTTATTAAAACTGTTTATATTTATATAAACACTTTATATTTATTTAGTATAATATATTTTAGTATTTATTAAATAGTTTATGTAAATGAATTCTTTTATAAATTCAAGTATTAAATCGTATTATAAATTCAAAATAGTTTTAATTAAATAGCTTTAATTTCTTTTGAATTGTGTCCTTGTGATTTTAGTTTTTATTAAGATGTAAAAAAGATTCAATTGAATCCTTGATACTGGTGTGAATCTAAGATTTCTTATAGCCATGGCTTAAATTATGTGTTGTTTCAGTTAATAAATTTTTCTTTATATTTTTCTTTAATAAAATTTTTTTAATAAAATTTCTTTAATAAATTTTTTTTTTATAATTTTTCTTTAATAAATAGGTTATTCTACATAAAAAATAAGCCTCTATAAATGCAAATAGTTATACATGGTATGATGATATCACCTGGAGCATTCAATTAGTTACTAAACTATAAAATTAATGTTAATAGATCCATTGCAAATTTAGATACATAAAAAAGTAGAATAGCTTGTTACCTACACTTAATTCATTCAGTTTTTAACTTATCATTCTATTTTTACAACAAACTTACTTCAGTCAAGTTACTACTATATAAATTAGTACTTGCTAAGAAATAAATTAGATCTTTTTAGAATAAAAAAACAGTTAACAAATGACTTAATAAGCTATAAACTATTTAAATCAAAACATGATTATGGAAGAAAATTCTAAAGTATTGATGTTTTCAGAGAAAAAATAAAACAAATAGAAACAAGACAAATAAAAACTATCAGTTAGTGTAAGAAATGCAATTTTGTTGAATGATTTATGATAACTCATTTGAGCTATCATAAATCATTTGTGAGTTATCATTTATCAAAATTCTTTTCGAATTCACAATATTACCATAGTTATGGTAACTATAGTAATATTGTGAATTCGCAAAGAAAAATATATAAGTAGTTGAGGCCTTCTTAGCCTAGGGGAGGGGAGGGGGTGAATAACTTTAAAAAAAAATAACTTATACTAAATCAAAGAACCTAGCTTATATATACTAATCCAGTGAAAAAGTAACTTCTGAAAAGATTCTATTTTAGAAATTTGCATTTAATAATATTTTAAATGCTATTTCAGAAAATCTACTGTTGTTCGATTGCTATATCGTTTTTTTGATCCAAATGATGGGAAAATATTAATTGGTCACCGTGATATTAAAGACTATACAATAGAATCATTGCGTAAAAGTATTGGGGTTGTTCCTCAAGTAAGTTTTAATTTATAAACTTTATTTCTTTATATTTTCTATTTACTTTGACACAAAGTGTAACTACACTAAATTTTATTAATTCTTTTGAGAAGTATATTTACCTCCATATTTTATTTTGACTGAAAGGTTTTTGCTGACTTATGTTTGTTAACATTAATTTGTATAATGCATTCATTTGGAGCAAATTATAATTATTAAACTTATGCAATGTGCAAATTAAGTGATGGCAAATTATGTAAAATTTGTAAATGTTTCTGTCAAATTCTCAGTTTATTGAAAAATTGTGATCACTGATGAAAGAATTTATCATATTGCAATTGTTAATGAAAAATAATAACTAGTCAAAAACTTACATATTTTATTAAAACTTTTATTTTATTGTTTAAAAGATAGTTAGTTCAAACATTATAAAATAAAACAAAAAATTTATAAAAAAATAATAATTACTAAAGGACCAAAAATTAAAAAATCATATTAAAGGTATTTGTGGGTTGTGCTCACTTCATAAGGGAGAAGTTCCGAGTTCGATCCTTGCCACATCCCCAGTTGCACATCCCTCGTTGTACAGTGCTCAATTTCTCAAAGAAAAACGTTTTAAAAAATGTTTTAATAAAATTTGATTTTTGTGTGAGGGGAAACTTCGAAATTTTTTTTTTTTTTTAATTTAAATATTTTAAATTAGAAATTAAAATATTTGTTGTTTATAATAACATATTTTAAAATTTAAATGTTTTAAATTTTAAAATATGTTATTAGAGTTTTTTTTAATAAGTGCTTTAAATTATTTTTAAACTCTTTTTTTGTCTTTAATTTAATATAAATATCTTCGTTAGAGACCATTTAATTAAAGATTATATTTGATTACAAGAAATTATTGAATACAATTTTAATAAAGTATAAAACTAGTTACAGTTTCTTTTATTTAAAATATTTGATCACTGCTAAACTCATTTAGACTGTGATTTGATCACTGCTAAACTCATTTAGACTGTGATTTGATCACTGCTAAACTCATTTAGACTGTGATTTGATCACTGCTAAACTCATTTAGACTGTGATTTGATCACTGCTAAACTCATTTAGACTGTGATTTGATCACTGCTAAACTCATTTAGACTGTGATTTGATCACTGCTAAACTCATTTAGACTGTGATTTGATCACTGCTAAACTCATTTAGACTGTGATTTGATCACTGCTAAACTCATTTAGACTGTGATTTGATCACTGCTAAACTCATTTAGACTGTGATTTGATCACTGCTAAACTCATTTAGACTGTGATTTGATCACTGCTAAACTCATTTAGACTGTGATTTGATCACTGCTAAACTCATTTAGACTGTGATTTGATCACTGCTAAACTCATTTAGACTGTGATTTGATCACTGCTAAACTCATTTAGACTGTGATTTGATCACTGCTAAACTCATTTAGACTGTGATTTGATCACTGCTAAACTCATTTAGACTGTGATTTGATCACTGCTAAACTCATTTAGACTGTGATTTGATCACTGCTAAACTCATTTAGACTGTGATTTGATCACTGCTAAACTCATTTAGACTGTGATTTGATCACTGCTAAACTCATTTAGACTGTGATTTGATCACTGCTAAACTCATTTAGACTGTGATTTGATCACTGCTAAACTCATTTAGACTGTGATTTGATCACTGCTAAACTCATTTAGACTTTGATTTGATCACTGCTAAACTCATTTAGACTGTGATTTCTTTTTAAATATTACACTTAATGCTTTATTGCACTTTATGATTTATTTCTCTAGTTTTAATTGATGATTTATCAAATGAATTAAAATATTAAAGTTAAAATCATAATTTAATAATAATAATAATAATATTTGATAATTAGAATTTATATCATAATTAAAAGATAAATAAAAATGTTTCTTATTGAATTCAATTCTATTGTGTAATTATTTGTTTTGTAATAAAAACAATTAACAGTTTAAAAATGATAATAATTTAAAGACGAAACATTTCTAGATATTGCATTTCACTTAATCTGAGCCTTGTTATGTCTCATATCTTGAGTTTTTGTAATTTGTGAGAGAGTTAAGTGAGGATTTTTTATCTGGATTTCACTAGTGTTATACTATAGCAATCTGTATGCATTATGTAATATGTAATGCATACAGATCACTTATTTTCACTTTAAGTTTTTAAGATCGATACCTTTGAGCGTACTGCATGTGTGTAATAAAAATTTTAATATTTTTTTCTCTTATAGGATCAAGTATTGTTTAATGATACTATATTATACAATGTTCAATACGGTCGTGTTTCTGCAACTGCTGAAGAAGTTTTTGAAGCTGCCAAGATGGCAGATATTCATGATTCTGTTATGCGTATGCCTAAAGGTTACCAAACTCCAGTTGGGGAACGTGGTCTAATGTTATCTGGTGGGGAAAAACAAAGAGTCGCGATTGCACGGGCTGTGCTTAAGACATCCCCTATACTGATTTATGATGAAGCTACGTCGTCGTTGGATTCTATTACTGAAAAGGTTAATTGAATAAATTTATAAATAAAAGTATTTTAATTAAAATTTACATAAAAATCAATCACATGTATTTATCATTTTTTATTCATTTTTAAAGTTTTATTTACTTTTTAAAGTATTTCATTTTCTTTTATTACTTTTTTTTTTTCAGCCATTTTAACTGTTTATCATATTAGTCATGTTTTTTTTATTTTATCATTTTAAAATGTTTATCATGTTCAATTGTTTATCATGTTCTTTGTGGCATTATAGTAAATTTCTTAAAAAGTGTTTAATTATTCTTATACCTCTAATTGTGGTATATGTTTTGTTGAAGAAATTCCAAAAAATAGTCTATATTAGCAAAAATTATTATTTTTATATAAAATTTTATAAAAAAATTTACCAGTTCTTCATTTAAAAATTATCTCAGTCTCAAAAAAAGTATATTTTTATAGAGGCTTTGAAAATGCTATTCGATTGTAATAAAAATAGATGTTTTTATATTATTTCTAAGAAATAATTCAAACTAGGGTTTCTCAAACGGGATCCCGTTTTCCCGGGATCCCGGGGATAAAAGTGGCAGCGGGATTTCCCGGGATATCACTCTTATATCCCGGAATATAATTTTTTTTAAAATAATTTTACATATGATAACTTTGAACTAATTCGACCAAAAATAAGAAAAATATTATTGCATTTAGTTGTGTTTTATGTGTTCATACCTTATATTAAAACCTAGCACAACAAGAAATGCTATTGAAACTATCTTAAACTAAAAAGAAATGCATTGCAATGCAATGTTTTCTTTTTTCTCATTATTATAAAATATGAGTAAAAAATAAAAAAGATTTCTTGCGACGAAAACAGTAAGTTTAATTTTTAAACTTCTAAATTATTGAAAAGTTAAACTTTTTCTGTATCAAATTATTGAAATATTTAATAATTTTTGTATTTAAAAAACGGCAAACAAACACATAAAAGTCATACGTAAGATAACATACATATGTAAGAAATATTTGTAACTTTACTTTTAGTTGTTCTGCGATTCAATTTAGTTATACTATGTCAATTGTAAATGGATCCAAAGCATGGCAGTATTTTTGTAAAGAAAAATCTGGCGAATCTGCAATTTGCAAAAAGTGCAATGTAAAGATAATGTGCAAAGGATTTTCGACCAGTGGGCTCCTACGTCATTTAAAAAACACACATAAAGATTTGGATCTAAATATGAAGCGTCTACTTGAAGATACTGGTTCGGAAAATAAAATTGTTCAAAAGAAAATAACATTGTTTGTTAAACAGCAGACTATCGAGGAAATTGTGTCAAAGCTAGCAACGGTGGATGGCTTCTCAATAAATGCCATAACAAAAAGTGAATTCATTAGAAAATCATTGTCTGAAAAAGGCATGTTATTACCAAAAAATCCATCCCATGTTATGGGTATGATAAAAAAACAATATGAATTAGCTAGACAAACTGTGGTTTTAGAGATAACAAAAGAAATTTCTAGCGGGTCGCGATTTTCTTTATCGTTAGACGAATATACGTCTTTAAAAAATCGACGTTATTTAAATGTAAATTTACACTTATCAACAAAGTTTTGGAACCTGGGAATGACTCCGATAGCTGGATCACTTCCTGCAGAAAAAATTGTTGATCTAGTTGAAAATAAACTGTCAGATTTCAGTTTATCAATTAAAAAGCACATCATAGCTAGTGTCACTGACGGAGCATCCGTAATGAAAAAATTTGGACGGCTAAGTGGTATTGAACATCAGCTGTGTTATGCCCACGGACTTCATTTGGCAGTATGTGATGTTCTTTACAAAAAGTCAGACTCTTCAGCAAAATATATTGAATTTGAATCGCAGTTTCAAGATTCCGATGAAAATTTGAGTGATTACGACGAGTTTGATGATGTATTTGACTGTAATGATGAGTCACACAGCTCAACAGGCGTTACGTTTATTGATGATTTACAAAATAGCGTAAATATAGCCTTAACAATTCAGAAGGTTCGAAAAGTGGTTCGAATGTTCCGTAAATCACCTCTTAAAAATGAAGTTTTACAAATGTACGTAAAATCTATGTTTAATAAAGAGCTTAAGCTGATATTAGATGTCAAAACGAGGTGGAATAGTCTTGTTGCAATGCTAGAAAGATTCCTTAAAGTAAAAACATGTATACTAAAAGCAATGATCGATTTAAAAGAAGTTCTGAATATCTCCGAAGATGAATATGCGATTATGAACGACATAACATTTTCTCTGCAACCAATAAAAGTTGGAATAGAAAGACTTGGTAGAAGTAATGCTACTCTACTTGACGCAGAAGGTGTAATGATATTCATCTTAGACGATTTGACGGAGAAAAAAAATTTTATAGCTAATAAACTGCTTCAATCTGTGCAGCAGAGAATTGAAGAACGCAGAAATGCCAATTTAATTGGATTACTAAAATTTTTAAACAACCCAATTAGTTATAATCAGGAATCAAATATCAACTCCAAACTACTCTTACCGCCCAAACATGCATTAAAAGCAACAGCAAAAAAAATTTATACCAGGTTGTACATAGAGGATGCTAGCCTTAGTTCATCAAATAATGAAATAGTTGAAGTGAGTCGTGATAATGAAAGCATGGTTTCTGACCCGTCAATACCTCAACCTGTTGCTCCATATTTATTAGGCAAAAGTATTTTGACGCTTGAACAAAAATTGGATGCGACTATTTGTAATGTCAAACAAGTAGAAAAAGCAGCTCTAGAAAACATTAGCAATTTAAAAAACCTCACAAAAGAAATCAAACTTTTTGAGGCAACTGGAAAGCGTAGCGAAAGTTTAGAAAGAATATACTCAACATTAATGACCATCAAGCCGACATCAATTGAATCAGAAAGGGCTTTTTCTGCCGCGGGTCTATTTATGGGAAAAATTCGTTCACGATTAAGTGACAAATCAATTGATTGTTTATGTTTTTTAAAACAATATTTCATTTTAAATAGTAATATAGATTAGCGTGCTAAGATAAATTTGTGTCAGAAACCGCTTGTTATTATATTAAAAATTATGCCGGGAAATCCCGGGATAAATAAGTTACACACCGGGAATCCCGGGATGCTAAATTTACGGGAAATGAGAAACCCTAATTCAAACTTAAAATTAGCTTGCCAATTTTAGTTAAAATTAATATCAAAATCTAAGACAACAGAAAAAAAGTTTCAAAAATTTTTCCAGTGGTATTTATGAAAATAATTTTGAAATGCAATAAGATTACCGGAATTTTTTCTGTTATTGCTAATGTCAAAAGGTTTTCTGTCAAAATGTGAACCCATTGAAATTGATTTGTTTGATAATTTTTATTTTTTTTTAATATTGATTAATTATTTAATTTATTTTTAATTATTTTTATTTTTTTTTTTTATTTTTTTTTATTAAATCAATATATTATTAACTAATTTATATTATTTTTTTTATTATTTTGTTTTGTGTCTGATAGACCTACAAAAATATCGACCTACTAAGTTGTTCTTCAAAAAGAACATATACTAAAAATTCGAACTAATTTTTAATTATCCTACTGAGGCCTAAATTGTTTTCAACCGATTATAGTCTTTTTTTATTTTCAACCGATTTATGACGTTTTCGTTTTTGACTGATTTATTTTTCAAGCTATTTTATAGATTTAATTTTCAACCGATTATCTGGTTTGTGTTTTTAACGTTGTTTTTTTTAACTACGAGGTTGTTTTTTTTTTTTTTAAATTAACAATTAATAAGTTTTCCAAGCATTAATTGAACCTTATGCCTTCCAGTTTTGAAGACTGCGCTTCGACCACTGCGCCAAAGCTGATCAAGTTTGGCTCGTATTCAAATCAACTACAAAATATACAAAATACATACCGGAAAGATGTAGTTAGAAAATCGGAAACACATTAAGTTGAAAATTCAGTAGGTTAAAAATACAGGTCAACGATTTAGTAGGTTGGAAAAATAGTAGTACAAGTTTTAATTAGGTGTTAATATAATAAAAATTCAAAAATTGTCGACTAAAAATCAAAAACGTCATATTCTACAATTTACGAAATTTCAACATTAGTTTGAGTAATAGACCACCATTTGTTTGATAATTTTTATTTGGTAAGTAATAAGTAAATTTGTTGAGAAATTGAAAATCTTTATGAATTGCTTTTTATGTGCATAAAAAAGAAAGCACTTTAGATAAACATTACTTTTATTCGTTTTTTTTTTGTTTTTTTTTTAAATAGCTTTAATAAAAAAAAATTATATTTGATTTATGCTTTTAACATTTTTATTTTTTACTATTAGAATATACTAGAGTCCATAAAGTTAATTACTAAAGATCGAACTTCTTTATTTATCGCACACCGTTTGTCGACAATAACGGATGCCGACGAAATATTAGTAATTGGTGACAAAAAAATTGCAGAAAGTGGGACTCACAGAGAGCTCTTGGCAGATTCAAGTTCTTTCTACTCATACTTATGGCATAAACAAAATGATTTTTCGTCATTTTGATATGCATTAACATAACGAATATAACTTTTTTAAAACAACAAAAAATTGTTAGTTATTTTTTTAATAAAAGTAGTTTTTATTAAGATTATTTTTTTATTAGTTTTATCTAATATCAGCTTTTTTATTCGGTTTTTTTTTTTTTTAAATGTATGTGCGTCTATATATATATATATATATATATATATATATATATATATATATATATATATATATATATATATATATATATATACAGTGGCGGATTAGGACTTCTTGGGGCCTGGGGCTATTTTTGTTTTTGGAGGCCTTTTTATGGGCCAGAGCTTAAAAATGACTTTATAAAAAAAAAGATCCTTTCAAATTTTTGGGGGCCCCTAAATATATATATATATATATATATATATATATATATATATATATATATATATATATATATATATATATATATATATATATATATATGTATATATATATATATATATATATATATACACATATACACAGTATACAGTGTCGGATCACGGGAGGGATGGGGTGGCTATAACTCTCTAGCCCCCACCCCACCCACCCCCACCCCCACCCCTCAGCACTGTATATAAATGTATGTATGTATATGTGTATATATATATATACATGTATGTATATATATATATATATATATATATATATATTATATATATATATATATATATATATATATATATATATATATATATATATATATATATGTATATATATATGTATATATATATATATATATATATATATATATATATATATATATATACATGTATATGTATGTATGTATGTATATATATACATATATATATATATATATATATATATATATATATATATATATATATATATATATATATACATATATATATATATATATATATATATATATATATATATATATATATATATATATATATATATATATATACATATATAAATATATGTAACAGGATCTATGGTACGGCACATTAGAAACATTATATTACTATTAAGATGTAATGATTTACTTTAAAGTTCCATTTTTTATCATTCATGGCTTCGGCTTTGCTGACGAGTAACTTTACGATTAGCGCGGGACTGTTACAAACTATGAAAAGGCAAATTGCTTTTTCATGCATTAGGCGAAATAAGTTTTGCCTAATCTAATCATGGTACGAGGTGTGTATTTTTAAATTTCTATTTAGAAACAAACATCAAAAACTCGAAGAAAAAATAAATAAACTAGTTAAGCTATTAACCGTTTGTAATGATTTATTTACTTTATGCCATTATGTAATAAAGCAATTATCTTTAGTGAAAATAATTTGTTGCTTTATCTGCAGTTTTAATAAATTTGCAAAAGTAAACAATACTTTGTTTTCTCATTTTGTAACATAAAAAAATATGCTTGGCTTCGTGAATTATAAACTGCTTGCATTTCGTGAAAATGCTGCTGTTATGTTTGTATACATAAACATATATTTTTTATATAGATATATATTTTTTATATATTAATAGTATATATATATATATATATATATATATATATATATATATATATATATATATATATATATATATATATATATATATATAAACAAGAAAAAAAAAAACCCGTTTAAAAAAAAACTTATTTACAAAATTACGGTCGAATTATTATGTAACTATTTTGTAACTATTATGTAACTATTTAGTCTTGGGTATCAAAAGATGTCGACACTTAGATAATATTTCGTCTTTTTTATTGAGCAGGTTGTTTTCTTTGTGATATAAAGTCATAAATTTCACAAGACAGAGGTTACAAATTTCGGATGTTGTTTTAATAGGTTTACAACGTTTTATAATTTTCCACTTTATTGTGTGCTTTATGTTTTTTTCTTTTAAAATCCAAATCTCCTTAGAAAGCTCGGTATCAATTCTGTATTTAATAGCATTAAAAGATTTTAAATGATTTATCTTATAAGTTTCGCTGATACCGAAATATATTTTTTATTTTTCTTTAGGATAAGGATTTTCATCAATCGCTGTGGCTTGATAAACAATATTACTTAATAAATACTGATTGTTTAATGCCAAAGCAGTCTTTGTAATGCAGTTGTAAGTTCTTGCATTCAAATTTGTATCACTGTGTAAAATCTTGTGGTTATTTGAAAGTTCTGTCGTAATTTTTAATTTATTTGTAAAAGAACTTGTTTTTAAACGGTTTTTTAATGTATTTAATATCTGATGATTGCCATGTATGGCTCAAAACTTTAAGTACTATTAATGTTGTTTTCCATTTAAACAAAATTTAAATATTTATTGCTCTATTATAGTAAAATTGAGCACTATTTTACGTTCAAGAGTTTTTGTATTATTTTAATATGATACAATAAATAAACAACATATCAATGTGTGTTTATGTTATATATATATATATATATATATATATATATATGTATATATATATATATATATATATATATATATATATATATATATATATATATATATATATATATATATACAGGGGCGGATGCAGGATTTTTTGAAGTTTGAGATAACTAACTTGCAGACATGGAGCGAACTCGAAACTTTTATATGTTTATAGTTATATCAAATATGTCAAATATGGATACTTTGCAAAAAATTGAGATAATAGGAGCCTGGGAACAAAAAAGCCCCAAAATTTTTGCCACACCTGCCCCAAACGTGAGAGCAACAAGTTGATAAAATAATTTTTTTACTATTCTTAACTAAATCTATATTCATCGAGAATTTTTAAAATTCATACAATAATCTCTTAACGTTCAAAAGTTATAGCCACATAAAGTTTGAATCCCCCTCAATTTGAGGGGGTTACAAATTTTATAAGACCATTATTATTGAACGCTAAAAGATTGTTTTACAAAATTAAAAATTTCTCGATGAATATAGATTTAGTTGAGAAAAGTAAAAAACTTATTTTATCAACTTGTTGCTCTCATGTTTGGGGCAGGTGTAGCAAAAAATTTGGGGCTTTTTTTGTTTCCAGGCTCCTATCATCTTGATTTTTTGCAAAGTATCCATATTTGATATAACTATAAACATATAAAAGTTTCGAGTTCGCTCCATGTCTGAAAGTTAGTTATTTCAAACTTCAAAAAATCCAGTATCCGCCCCTGATATATATATATATATATATATATATATATATATATATATATATATATATATATATATATATATATATATATATATATATATATATATATATATATATATATATATATATATATATATATATATATATATATATATATATATACATATATATATATTTATATATATATATATATATATATATATATATATATATATATATATATATATTTAAATTTTGTTAATTAGGTTTAGTTGCTCAATAAAACAAGGAATAATTATTAAATATAACTAATTGGCCAATATCTGTACTCTCTGGTTTTCCAAAGGTTTTTGGAAACATTGTTTACAATAAATTATATGACCATCTTTATAAAAATAAAATGTTAAATGCCAGTCAATTTGGATTTAAAAAAATAATTCCACGGAATACGCCATACTATGAAGTATAATTAGAAATATTGCAAATTCTTTTGAGAAATCACAATTTACTTTTAGAGTTTTCATTGATCTACCAAATCCTTTGATATGATAGATTACGAAATCCTTATACAAAAACTTAAAAACTATAAAATCAGCGGAAATTTCTTAGATTTGCTAAAAAGTTATTTAAACAATTGTAAGCAGTTTGTGCAAATTGATGTATCCTTCTCAACAAGTTTATTAGATATAACATGTTTACTAGATATAACTGCTTTTTCTCATTTATGTTAATAATCTGCACAATGTCTCAAATTTGAAGACAGTAATGTTTGCTGATGATACAAATCTTTTTCTATCCGGTAAAAATATCATTACACTATTTAATGACATCAACATAGCACTAATTAAAATTTCAAATTGGTTTAAGTCAAATAAACTATGGATTAACTTGGAAAAAACTAAATGGACTTTATTTCATGTAAAATCAAAAAAAACTTTTACCAATAGATATGCCTTAAATTTATATGGACAATGTTCAAATAAAAAAACCAAAAGTTATACATTTCCTTGGTATTTTCATTGATGAAAATCTAACATGGAAAAACGCTATCGAAACTTTGCGCAATAAAGTTTCAAAAAATATTGGAATAATGTATAAAGCGAGAAATTTTGTAAATAGACATTCATTATTTCAACTTTATTACTTGCTAATCTAATGCCATATAAACTATGCAAATATCGCATGGGGTAATGCTGAAAAAATTTAATTAGATCCTCTATATCGGCAACAGAAACATATAGCACGTCTAATAAATTTTAGAGATTGGTATACTCATGCCAGACCTCTTTTACTAGAAATGAATGTTCATATTATATACCAGCAAAATGTTTTTAATGTTCTTTTATTTATATACAAATGTAAGATAAACCTAACCCCTATATCATTTTAAAATTTATATGAAATAAAACAAAAAAACAAATATGACTTAAGTAATAACAATCTTATTCATCAACATTATTCTCATACAAGTTTTGGCAGATCTCTTTTAACATATCGCGGAGCCCTTCTGTAAAACAATATTGTTTTGAAAAAATTTGATTTTTCTCAAAGTTGGATTTTTCTTACTTTTAAAATTAAGCTGAAAAATCTTGTCAATTGATAATATCTTTGAGTTCTTTTGAGTTTGTACCTTTTAAAAAAGTTTGTGATTCCTGAATATATTGTTTTATTTTGAAATATTTAGTTTTATATATATTCTTTATGTTGTTAAATGTTATTTTATGTTTTGAAATATCTGGTTAGATTTAAAATTTATTTCTGAACGTCAATTATTGCAATTATTTAACTGGTTATATTTTTACTGCATTGTTAAACGGTTCTCAGTGTTAAACTCTTTCAATCCTCTTTGAGTCTCCCTGTTCTGAGATTTAATGTACAACCATATTTATACCATAATGTATTGTAATAAGAACAAAAATAATAATAATAATAGTAATAAACTTTAAATTTATCATAAATAAACTTTATTAATAAATTTATATAAAATTAAACTTTCTTAAT